AGTTCCTTAGCAACAACCCAGGAAAGGACGTTCTCCTTCGATGCTTGTATGAGACAGGCGGGACACTTCAACGGGACTCGTGACCGTCGCCAGCACTGCTGTGGTGGGCCTAAGGGTTCTGGCTATGAAGTTTTTGGAGCCCATATGAACTCTAAGCCCAAACCCTGAACAGTTATTGTGCTTCCTATGTTTGTTTGCCATGGCACAATCAGTGGAGGCGGCGATCCTGCGTGCGTGCACCCTGCAGCAGCTACGCGACTTTGTCAAAAGCAAGGCCGGGAGGGTTGGAGATGCAGATGGCAGTTGAACTACTGTAGTATAATGGGGTATATCTTGGGGTTATAGAACGAATACTACTGGTAATAATGATAAGAAAATAGGAATAGTACTAGTAATAATGTTAGTAATCATACTAGCGATAACGATAACAGGAGTAATGATTGTAGTATGTTAACATCAAGGCAAGGCGGGAATCAGACTGTACTTGCCTTGACAAGCCTGACAGCCAAAAAGTCAGAATCCAAAGTTCCGCAAGGGGTTTGGGGTTTGGGTTTAGGGTTGTTGTAGGTATGAGGCAAGTTTCATAATGCAACACAACGGTCCCTACTGAGGGATTCCACAATTCTGTTGGGAATGTAGGTGATGAAGCACCTGGCTCGGATGCACGCAAGAGCCTTCTTGCATTCCCAGACGTCTACACGTAATTTTGGAATTTTCCTTTCACACATCGCACTTTACGCGTTAAGGCCGATCAGACTCATAACAAACTGCTTGAGCCCAAAAGAGCCCCGACTGTTGATCTTAAGAATGGTCTCAGTCATAACAGGAAATATGTTAATAGTAAAAACAGGCAGTAATAGTAGTAATAATTGTAAAGATAGTCCTAGAATGATAAAAATAAGAATAGCAGTAATAATAGGAGTTACAGTTGTAGTCGAAATAAAAGTGAAAACAGCTATAATGGTAGTAATTGTAAGAATAATATTAAGATACTAGCAATAACGGTCATTATAATAGTAGTAATGATACCAAGAAAACACAGTAGTTTGGGGGGCTGACGTGATGCAATAGGTCCTGCACCAGCAGGGGCTCTGAGAATCTCTCCATAACTGCTAGACACNNGACCCATGTTTCCTTATAACCCAACATACCCTGATGTTCTTACAATTCCCTACATAATCCTTTCATATCCACTACATATCCCATATATGCCCCCTTCAGAGCCCCTATGTGTAGGTTCAGCCATGTCCTCGTCTTGCAGTGCTACTGCGAAGTCCAAAACACGCCTGGCAGCGATCTCATCACGACTGGGGCGATGCCAGGACAGCCATGAGGAAAGGTTGGGGTTTACGGTTTATCTAGGGTTAGAGTTTAGTGTCTAGGGGCCATGAGTAGGGGTATTGGGGACCCTAACCCTGAAAACCTAGACCCAGAGCATGGGGGTTGAAAGTTAGAGGCTTGCTCCCAAGATGATGTGCAGGGTTAACCATGCAGAGGTTTCTAACTATTGGGCCCCTTTTTTGGGTGGTCCTGTATTTATGAAAACTACTACGTACCATGGATTCAGTGGATGGGTCCTGGCAGAGCTCCCACAAGGTTCCTAGCGACTTCCCCTCTTCGGCCCATACCCCTCATCAGCATCATGGAAGGATCCTGACCAAGTGGGATGTCGCCAACTTCCAGCAATCCTTGACCTCCAGCGAGGGAAGCAAGCTATTTGGCAAAGATGTGGCAACTGTGTCTGCCTCAGAGAAGGCTCCCGGCCGCAAGGCGGAAGACCTGCAGATTGACGAAGATGAGGAGTGCAGAGTGCAATGAGGGACAAAGTGTTGAGCTTCAGCAGCCTGAACTTTGGGCGATCCTTACCGTGTGGCCTTTCCTGCTTCTTTTGGCCTTCGTTCTGATTGCAACCTCCGATTTATTCATAGGCCTTTGGGTCCAAGACTGAATCCCAGCATCACATCTCACTCGCTTCATGGTGTTACCACAGGGATACTTAGAGCTACGGTACCCAGCATCTGCCAGAGCATCAAGTGTTTGTCATCCTTGGACGCTCAGGGTGGCACTTGGGGGTACAAATTCACCTATGCTTATAGGTCGGGCTTGAGTTCATTTCTCGAGCCTACCCTAAACCTTCAACCCTA